TATATTTGTATAATACTAATAAGCATGTTGTTAATGTTATCTTTAGAAGTTAGAAAGTCATCCGTTACTAAGGTGTGAAAGAAACATAACAGACGGCATGTGAGTATGTCTGTTTCGACTTTAATTTATTTTTGACATTTGAAGAAATAACATCACCAGTGTTATATATCATATATACTTCTAAAACAGTTGAACGTTTCTGTTGCTTGCAATTTAATCTAATGATGAATACGAAAATAAAAATTATATATACTGACAATATAAGTTTATTGACAATTGAAGCACCAATTGTTAACTCAGGAAAATAGATAATGAAATATATTGAAATATAAGTCATTAGTGAGTAGATCTGGTGCTTTTTGTTACATACTTACGACTACAATTTCCGGATATTTTGTCACAGGAACGATTGGTACAACCAACAGAGCAGTTATCACAGGACGATCCGAAGAATCCATCCTCACAGTCTGGTCATTCCAAAATGAAAAATAACTGTATTTAGTTTCATTTTGACATTTCACCAACATATCAATATACAAATAAAATCTATCACATGGAACAACCATGTATTGTATGCATGCTAAACATATATGATGTATCCTCTTGTTTTCAACGCAATGTTACCTCAATTTGATATAATTTAATTTTCAGTTTGATGATCGGGTAATATACCATCACCAAATCATAATCGGACCTGATACAGTATCTAACAAACGTGCTGTGAAGTGTTTTTGCGTACTACCACCGGCATGTGTTGTTATGTCATACTATTTTTCTTTCTACATATTGTATCACGTTCCAGATTGCCGATCTTGATTCGCAGAGATTAGGTTAATTGTACCGAAAACCTACGAAAACGACAATTGCTGTGAGCTATATATTTTTTATATCTGTTGTAGGGTTGCACATTCTACACCATGATTATAATTTGCATGTCCTTTTGATTTTCATTTATTAGACGTCATAAACAAATTATAATAGGATATTTGTCAGTAACGTGGATTTATTTTTATGCAAAAGTGATCTGAATTGTCTATGTTAACATTACAATTACAATATATGAATAATACATAATGTTCTAACTAATCCTTATATAAAACATTTCTATATTCGTTTTCCATATTTTACACTGATACATACCTTCACACTCTCCATTGCTTTGCATACATCGGTTGTCTTTACAGTTGAACAGACAGGTCTGATTACAATGGCTGCCATAATACCCGGGAGTACACGCTTTCATGCAAAATCACAAAGAACAAGTCAATATCCGAAAAAAATGACAAGAAGCGGCATTTTCCTTATCTAAGTTTTAGGTTATTTATTGTTGCTGATATGGTGATTGTACTCAATGGTGCTCGATACATGTATATTTCGAATTAACACTAAGCAAGATAAATTGTGTATTGTGAACCGAATCTTATCAATTTATAATAAAATAATGTAATCATAACATTATATCATTCAGTTGATTAATATATATTTGCAACAAATACTTTAAAAGTCGTATCATTATAAAATTAAAATTGTGTCTGTTCCCTCATCAAATGCAATATATCTGATGACAAGAATGTGTATCAACACAATTGTAAAAAATAATGTATTTTATATGACTGGTGACTTAAACTGAAATACAACGAATCACTTACCGGAACAAACACCGGATTCTACATTGCATACGTTATCATAACAGTTTGAAGGGCATTCTATGCATAAAGATCCTGGCCGAAAGTATCCATCAGCACAGTCTTAAAATTAAATGAAACATGTACACTATGTATATATTTATTGCATTGTCCACACAGATTTTAAAATTATATAGGGGATATATATTATACGTAGAAATGTAAATTGAAGACTGCTTGTCATAATTATGTTGATTCACTCGAATGGGAAAATAATATAATGTTATAATGTAAATGCTATAATGTTATCATTATAGGACATATCCATATGTTATTACTGTAACAAAAGCCTATACGACGCCAAAGCAAAACAAAAAAAAATCACAGATTGAATCAGGTTATGATGACGATCTACACTTTTTCTGATACTTAAATTACGTTTATCACAATGGTTATCGGTAATAAAAAAATGAATGATAAACTGATTTTTTTTCTCTTGTTCCACAGGCAAATTACATGTTATACATTTTTTTCCAGTATTAATATCGTTAGATATATGTAATTACATGCACATTGTCCGGTCACTGGATCACACAGGCTATTGGCACACCCTACATCACAATCTGAATCACAATTACCATCACCATTTTTCCCAAGTGGACAACCTGAAATATATAAGCATACGAGTTTGTGTCATAAGCACATATGTTTACATTAAAAACATGCTAAAACATATTTAACCAATTCCAATTACCCTATCGCTGGATAGATACCTTGGTTGTTCAAATTCCTCCTTATGTAACCTCTACTGCAACCTTATAATGGTGCACAAGAACATTACTAACTTAATCATTGCAAAATAATGTTTTAATGCGCCAACTCGCGAAATAACATAGTGATATTCATAAATGCTTATCTTGACCTAGAACAGGAGTTCTGAAAGTTCCATATTCTTTCAATCATTTCAAAGGTCAATATTATCGATTTGTGTTAACACAAAAACAGTCAAATACACACAAGAATAACACAATTTTTAAGGTTAAATATGGCAGTTACGTACCGTACACTTCTACCTCACAAAGCTCCAGAATAGCGTTACCAAAGTACCACGTTAGACCTGGTGACCGTCTGTCGCTGTATATCGTCAGGTACTGGGCGCTACCTGTACATGGGATCTTGAGAGTCAATGACAACGCAGCCGCCGTTGATGTTGTGTCTTTATGGCAAAGGTAACCGTTCCGCCACTCCGACGTATTCGACTGGTATACTTGAAAGCCACCAAATCGTTGTTTTTGCTGATAACTGTCATCTAAATTTGATAAATAAGATTCTCCACTATAGCTATTACTTATATATTTTTTACAGCTTTGAGTTCACGCAGGGTTATTTAGCATTTTTGCCAGGAAATTACAATCCGCGCAGTGTAAAGTGCTATCTACTGTGAAACGTTTTACACTTTTATTGTTTTTCTAACATCGCTGCAGGTCGGTGATTTAGAAAAAAAGGGAAATGCTTGTTGTTACCGACTGCATGTTCTGTAACAGCCGACTGATGCGAAGCCTCAAGAATGAAGGATTTTTCATTTGTTTCCCCTCCACCACTGGGTCGCGTTTTCGAGACCTACGTGGGGCAGTTGCCAGGAACTGACCACATAACTGGCCACGTGTCGGTGTTTTTCTCATGCCATGCTACCGTGTTCTTGTTTTGACATTGCCGAATAATGATAGTTTAAAAGGAGTAATTATTACATTGTAGTAAGAATTTGACGTCATTAGGATTGACTTGGTCTCTGATCACAAGCCTATTCACATCTTTACGGCCTCTACTCTCTTTGAAGAAGAAGATAATGTTAACCATAATAGCTTTGTTTTAAGTTAACATGAAGCAATACCAACAAAAGTTTTTTTTCTGCAGTAACTGTTATCGTCATATTTAATGTAAATAAAGGTAATTTATTAAGTTCATGTTAAAACCCTGAATTCCAGAATGATCCTTGCAAACTATTCTTACCTAGGCCTCTTTCTTAACTTTTATAGCGAACCCCCTAACCTATTAGAATTTGAGGTGAAGTTTTTCAAAGATGTTGTACCTTGAATTTGCACATTAGAAGTGTGACCCCTGTCGAAAACAGAAATTTGACCTTCACACAAAATGTTACCCGGGGAAATGTGTGCACTGGCGTTCTCTAAAGCATACATATGTATCAAAACATATTGTAAATGCCTAAAAACGTTTTCGTTATAGTATAGATTACACAAATGATTTGTTTTAACCATTTGACCAATGTGATCTTGAAAGATAATGTATTTCAATAATTTCTACCAAACCCTATTGCAAACCGAAAAATTCAAAAGTTGAAAAAATTGTGACAAATTCTATTCACATGTAATGAGAACACAATGGGCCCCGATCATTATCTACAAATGATATAAATGCAGGAATACTGCATAATCAATAGTTTTGAAGTCATGGCGGCCATATTGGATTCTGAACCAATTTAAAATGTTACTTCAATAATGTAGTTCACACCTTCTGACAATGATATACAACACATCTAAAGGTGTTTAAACACATCTTAAACCTGCTACCAACAACAAAAGAATAGGTGGCCAAAAACTGATGTTGTAATAATAATAAGAAGAAAATCAGAAACATCAAAAATGATAGGCATCTCCACCATTTGGCGAAAAGCCCTAATAACTAGTGTGTGTAAGACGTCTATCCTAAAGGAAAGCATCATCTATGGAATCAATGCAAATGTTATGCAAAGCAAATCTAGAAAAAAGTAGGTTTCAGTCAATGAAACCGAAATGTTAGAGTGTTGTTTACATTTAGTAAACATTCATTGAAATAATATTGTTCCTTGGCCCATCATGTTAATTAATGTAGAGTTATAGAACAATTCCCAGAAATACAAAAATAAATTTCAGATATGTTTTTTTCTGTATTCTTAAGACTAAGTTATAAACTTGGTCTATTTATCTAAATACAAAACAATATATTTAACTTTCTATCGGTAATATTTCTGTAAGGTTCCATCAAGCTGCTATATCACATCAAAGCATATGTAAAGGGAGGAATCACTGTTGGTTATTATTATCAATAACATTCCTTAATCAAAATGTCCTAAGATGGATTGACTTTGTCACATCTTCTATCCATAGGTACACGGACAGAAGAGCATACACATGTATCGACCGGTGTCGTGTGTTTAAATATACAAAAAAAAAAACACAGCGGAGTCAGAGCACTTGAGGATTTCAATACCAGTCGTACACGCATACACAACAGTCCGTCGGTAATAAACACAAACTCATTCAAGGTCTATATACAAAAGTGTTAAGCATACCTTTGGTGTGGAGTTACAACCTGTTGGACCGAAAAATTATTAGTCAGAATTTCGAACGGATGGACAGCATTACAAACAACCTAGACAGCCTTACAACTCATCTATTGATATATTTATTGTAAACGTTATACTTAATTGTATGTACAATGTATTGGACTTTCTGTATTGTTATGTCGTATGACGTCAACCGTTTCGTTTGTACCATTATCGGTGAAGACCTAGCAGACCTTTCAACCATTTGGGTTTTTTATGCAATATTCATATCTAAAATCATCTGGCCCCGTATACTTAATTATATAAACATCTAGTATGATTGTGAATATTTAAACGCATTTCGTTTAACTCCGGGTTTACCGACCTCATTATAGACAGTGTTTTACATAAACACGGATAGATATATATGGGGCACCACCAGAAATGCGTTATTTATGTAATTAGTAGCAGAAACCACCGGAAGAAAATAACTTTAAGCAAAAATGGGGATATATTGGTCGCCTTGAACGATATGCATTAAGATTCCACAGTACCGTCCTAAGTTACTGAAATACAAATCATAATTTTCACCTAAAATTCACCAGAACGGTTATGTTATTGTTATTTTAATTACTCACTTCTGTAGTATATTTTGACGTATTCCAAAACGATTAGTCCCTCTAGATTGACTTGCCACCACGCTTCGTTTTGACCTCCCTGTGTATGTGAACAACAACTGTTGCTGAATGTTTGTGTTGTACAGCCATCTACTGCCTTACCAGCGTATGCATCTTTGTAGTTTGAACTTTGAGTGGTGTGCTTGACACTTGGATTACGACTGGTGTTAACTGTAACAAAATACACATTATTGTATATATTACTGATCTAAAGCACTGCTCATTGTCACTATTCTCAGCATTACAGGGTCAGCAATGTATGAATGTGTTGATTGTAAAATAAAATAATAACAGATACAAATGATGAGCCGATTTAATGGAAAATTGATATAAATATAGATAAAACATGTACAAATGTGCCAATAAAATAATTAGAATCAATAACCAGAACTGTGATAGTTTTATTTGACCGGTTGATAACCTTTTGATGTAATGTCATACTTGATGTTCCGGATTTCTTCTCCGTTTTAAAATTCATGATCAAATGCCCATGCTACTTATTAATATCATTTTAAAAAAAATATAAGCGAAAAAAAAAACCCAGTAATAAAATATGCTTGTAACCGTAATCAGACAGTGGTTAAATAATAATCTTAAAGACGTGAGATCAAGTAAATAAATAGAGAAAAAATATAATAAATAATGTGAAAAAGTGTATAACCGAAGTTGTTCGTGTATTACGGGGTGAAGAATACTGCGAGAGAAAAAAAAATAGAACTTAATTGAATTTGTACCGAAAATGTCCATTCAAGATAAATTTTGTACAATAATTAGCTTTTTGTTTCAAGCTTACCGAAGAGATATTACATGTATGTAATTTAACAAAAGCTCTCTTCTAAGTAACTACTGAGCTTTTGTTTATATATTCTCTCTCAAAGTAACTGTTGATCTGTGTTTTTTTGTGATGTGTAAATGTTCATACTCTGTCTTCAAACAAGTGCGGATCACCCTGAATAATTGAAAAATGTTTTTGTCTGCACAGCTGTTATTTCTTCTTTGCTTATATATATAGTTAAGTAATACACATCCTACCGACATTTGTTTATCCGGATCCAGTGTCCATATTGGTTCATACTGTCGTTATTACTCACGAGACATATGGGACAAGGAAGTAAATCCAACAAGTAGACATTATGAGGTCGCCAGATTACACACGTTAAAACACAAACACATACGTTACGTTTAACACAATTAGATATACTGGCATACTACTAAGATATAAAGTATACATACGGTGTTTATCAAGGGCATGCGAACAGTGTTGTAAATCATATCAATCGCCCTACCAATGTTAATACAATAGAAAGACCAGTAGCCACAAAGCACAATTGAAAGGCAATATTTGAAACAGAACCAGTATATTGTTAATGTGTTGTTTCTATATGTACGTATCTTGAAATAATTGCATATCGTTTGATACTTTGTCACATAAACTGTGCAACGCGGAAGTTTGAAAAATGAATCTAAGGTACAGGCTGTATATTTACCCCTACATGGTGTATCAGCAGTATGTCCATGGTAAATCACCTACACCGTATGCTATGAGATGTAGATCTAAATCAATGTGACGTATAGTTTTACATTAGAATGACGAATACACAGAAAGTGAACATCCAATCCTACCTGATGTGTTGACAATCGTCGAAGTTGATAAGAGACACAAAACTTCCAGCAACCAGATAGTATACACCTCCATTCTACATATACTGCGTATCGTATAAGACGGGTGCCTTGTGTATGCTATATAGAAAGCGCACAGCTATCCAATAAGGAAGTAGATAGTATTATTTACTAATCTATCAAATTGCATTGCCATTCGACATGGTTGTTTTTTGTCAGTATTTGTTATCTTGTTCTGTTGCCTGTGCACATGAATACACTTTCTTTGACATTTTTTTTTCTACTGGCAAAGCCTTTAGATGTCGTAAGCATGAGGTACATTTTGATAATTATTTAAATTTAAACTGAAGTATATCATATTTTCAGACAGAAAAATGTGTCGGTAAACCTGTCTTGATCCGGTTGACCCCTATACAGCAATCACCTACATGTATCTGAGTGTTCCCTATCCTCGCTATGTAACCGACATACGAAAACCAAAACGAGGCATATTGATGAACATTCCTGCTTAGGATAAGTACATCGCATGATAATTACTCTCGGGAAAATAATTGTTAACTAATCTTTTTTTTTATATAACACATCGACAGGTAGCTAGTCGATATCACGCCTATCATAACAGGATTAAAAGCCGGGTTACTTACCTACGTGATGAATGTATAGTCACAGTTATCTTAGAAAATGTGATACTATATCGACATAACGAAAAACCATTCATATTTTTATGTTAACCACTTAGATTATGGCGCATACGTAACTCTTAATCCTATGGAAGATAGGGGGTCCTACTGTAGTAGTGAAATATGTTTATCATATTGTTGTGGTAATTCAATACATACGTTCGTCATAACTGATTTTTTGATAAAAACAAATAGTGTTCATATTTGTATGAAGATTATTCCTTTGAAAGAAATACATATAAATGGTACATGTCTTTCTTTCTTTTTATTGGAGCTTATTTAGTATAACATATAAACTGGACGACAATAAAACCAATTAACATGTATAGCACATATCGCCTAAACAGCCGAGTGTTGCACATTTGATACATGTATATATAGCGTGACGTCCGTAATCACATGTCGGTGGGGATATTATTGTCATGTGCTCTCCAGACGTGACCGCAGGTAATTGAGCTAACTACACCGCGCTGTGTCCTCATTGGAATTGATCTTCATTTATTAGCCAAAAAAGGTGATGTTGTAACGAGATATGTGTGTAACACATGTACATTCCATTCTTAATTTAATACAGCTAATACTTCTGTCGCTGTATTGTTCTGTATAACGCATTTGTACCCCTACGCAGATAAAGTATCTGTCAGATAAGAAATTTAATCGTTTTGTCTATTGTGAAAAGAGACTACGCGCATGAGCTAACCCTGGTAACTTCAGTTAAAAGTTCAGTTAAATCCCTGAAAAGGTCAGGCTTAAATGTATGCGTATTTAACACGTACACCAGTGCTTTAGGTGTAACTGATAAGAACGGTCACCAGTGTAATATCACAGGATATTTTAAAGCTCTAGTTAAGGGAATTATATATTGACTACTGGTTTAATTAATGAAAAGTATTTCATATTGATATTCCTATTACTATACATGTTATTAGACTGAACTATGACCTTTGTGACCAATACAATTTGACCTTTGTTGTAAAATCTGCAAGTTTAACAGGAATCATCTTATTTGCTTTGAACTATCCAAATGACCTTTGACGTTTGCTGACCCAAATATTGACCATTGGCTTATTTTGGTCTATAAGATCTGCAAATGAAATGAACTGCTGATTGGTAGTTATCATCAAATCGACCTATTGCTTACTTTAAAACAATATGTGCTAGTGAAATGGATTTTATACTGTCCTTGATAATAATAATATCTTGACAAATAACCTTAGGTGATCTGTAATTTTACCTTTGGTATAAATTTGCTCCGACAATAGATATGTTTATGTATTCGAACATAAAAAACGATCATTTTTTTTTATGAATTTTATAAGGGGTTCTAGCATAACAAATGTTCATATGCTGTCCAGTGCCTTAATAAATGTGTATGTCTTACACGTAACTAAAAAAAGGTAATGTTATAAAGGGATATGTGTGTAAGGTATTTCACTTTGTACCATTCCTAGTCATATACAATATATGTTCAGTTTTGTACTGGCAATATATCTTTTTCGATTTTGTTCTGTATAAAGCGTTGTAATGGCATGAGGCATGAGCTCTTAACACATAACATATCTGTCTGTTAAAAAAGTTGATATTGTTTGCCTATTGTGAAAAGCGACTACGTGCATGCGCCTATCCTGGTAACTTCCGTTACAAGTTCAGTTAAATCTCTGGACAGGTCTGGCTTAAATGTATGCGTATGTGACACATACAGCAGTGCACAGGGTGTAGCTGATAAGCACGGTTATCAGTTTGCTGTCACGGGTATTTAAAAGCTCTACATAGGGGAGATACATTGACAATTGGTTATATTAATGTAAAATATTTCATATGGATATTCCTATTACCATACGTGCAATTAGATTGACCTATAACCATTTGTGACCAGTAAATATGTTGTCTTTTGTTGTAAAATGTGCAAGTTTAACAGGTGTAATCGTACTTGATTTGAATGATCAAATCAATGCTTAGCGTATTAAAACAACACTGACCGGAATAACAATATCCAATGTAAAGAAATGTAACGGCTGTTAAGATATCGCTGGGCATTGTGAGACTTGACAATGAAATTACAAATTTATGTGCAAAAGAACGTTATAAGTTTAACGCGTCTCGCAGCCACTGTTTCCTCAGTTTCTGACGACATGTCAAATAACGAGGCAGTTATAGAATCTACCGACTGTAGTCAGTCTCCCATACAATCAACAAATAAATTCACGCCTGGATAATTCACAAAATGAGCAAAGAGAAAAGTTCGAATTAACTTCCAAAAATAACTCCCTCGTGGAGGGCAAGATCGGATTCACGGTGTTCACTGTATTTATCCATGCGCGAAATTTGTTCAGGGGAAAATCGAAACAATTTCAAATCTAATTTTAAGCTCAGAGTTCAATTGATAAACTAAAATAACTCTAAAGACATATCATAATTGTATTGATACTGAATTTGGTATAAAAATGAAGTGTTTGTTTAAATTTCAAAGTACTAATTTGTTTGCCAATCAGCACGCGACATCTCGGTAAAAAAGAACATAAAAGCCAGAGAAAACATAAATATAATTATTGAACGGCTTTTGTATGGTATTTGTGATTTATTTGAATGACACAGATCGATTAAGAGCGCGCATTATGTTGTTTGCTTGCAAAGCTGTGTCATTTAAATAGATCATAAATACCATACAAAAATAGTTCAATGCTTAAATATAACATATGCACCCTGTAGTACAGAGGTCATATCTGTGACAACAAATGAAATTTTAATCATCTCTTAGATATTGTCTGCATGTCATTCAATATAATTATGTATTGTGACAAAAAAAATAATAATCAATTATTTATCAGTTTTGTAAGGAGTTGAACAGCTTTGTAAATGTTAGCTGATCATATGTTGCCCAGTGACTCAGAGTATGGAGAAATAGAGGAAGTGATAATTTAAGCATAAATGAAGGAGAGTATGATATTTAAGTTGTCAACACATTTGTACCAAAAAGGAAATTAAGTAAATTAAAAATTCAAAGTTGCACAATATCTTTTAAAATGCCTAAAAATAGCAGTAACAAACTCTACATGTAGGCAGTGATTAAGCTTTCTTGGCCTCAACTTAATTGCAGCAGGGTTTCTTGGGATATATGTTTAAGAGTTCAAAAAACAAACTTAACATGCAAAATGCATGATTATGACGGCATTTTGTGAATTATGATCCATCTCAAACCAAAACAGGCAAAATTTTGTACTACATGATCCCAGCAGAATTTTTTGTACAAACCTTTTACATTCAAAATCCTAACCAAACAAAGTATGGTCTTGTAGCCATTTCGTTTCACCGTGTCATCTTTATTTAGGCCAGTCACAACTTGGGACAACGGGAATCATACAGGCTTTCCTCATGATCCTTCTATGTTTCTAGTTCTTTTTAAAATAGCAGTAAAAAATACATTTGACGTGCAAAATCCTTCATGGCTTCCAGGTGGCCTTTATACTTTTCCAACCCATCTCATATTAAACAATTAACGACTTTTAGCCAAAGGGATCATTCATATCTATATAAAAGAGGTCGTTTTCTAATGTCTCTAATCTAGAGGTCGAACCTGTAACCTCCGGTTTACTAGTCTGACTATATCGCGAATGAGCGAAAGATAAAGTAAGCAGTAAGTGTTGTTTACCAGGGTAACATTTTCATCATGTCGTTTCTGTGAAATAGCGGTTACGATGTTCATATACTCCCTGACATACAGATTGACTGAATGACAAACGCTTGACCACGAACAAAAAACTGATCAAAAGTATGAAAAATATACTAAATAGAAGACATATGGCAATTGTGACAGTGAAATGGTTGACAAATAGATTAAAAGATGCAAGTGATTAGACTAAGTTAGGCACTCTTCACTTTTGCAGATATGTTTATGAGAACAGGTTGAATACGGTAACGATACTTCCAACCAAACACAGTACTTCAAATAGTTTATATTACACATCTATGTGCCCCATGTTCTACTTTTTTATTTTGAAGTAAAGCAACTTAGGGTGAGGGTTAGAGTAAAACGTTACATAGGGCCAGGAGGTTTTGGTATAAACGGGGTGGCACAGGCACAAACAGTGACTTGCGTGGCCATAAGGCACTGGCAGCAGTGATACCGGTGTACTGAAAGCAGTATATCCACCTTAGGGAACGTTGGATAAGCTTAATGCTTGTTAGCTTAACGGATGGCATCGAACTAAGAGGGGGTGGTTATTATCATTCACTATTAAAACATACTTATATGCATTATTCTACCGCGGGAAGCTCGTGTAAAGATTAATTGAATGTCATTTGTTCTCTACACTGTAGGTATTGTATATCATTCACTATTAAAACATACTTATATGCATTATTCTACCACGGGGATCTCGTGTATAGATTAATTTAATGTCATTTGTTCCCTACACTGTAGGTATTGTCTTTTAAACTGAGTACTGCTGTTAATGTACATAGTATCTTCCATGCTTTAACTGGTCCATTTGCAGTTAACTTTTAAACAAGTTGTTGAATGGTTTATGACGGACATGTGTCTGTGTCTCCCCACTGATGTCCTATTACATTATATTTATTATTTCGAAAACAGACTGATAACTTGTAGTGTCGAGTGTCGGGCTAAACAATTAATTTCGTTACGTTTACTTATTGATTCATTAGCTATTGACAAGTAACACTTTAACTCTGTTACAATCTGAGGAAGATTTCTTATCTATAGTAATCACTTTAGCATTATATGATTGTTAATCTTTTTTTAAAAGGGCACATATTGTATCCTTAGTGTAAAATTGTCAATCCCTCATCACATCAGTGTTCACTGCTGGAACGGCATTGTTCGGTAATCATTATATTGTAAAGTTTGAACTTCCAACCAAGTAAATTCGAAACAATTCAACCTTACAAGCATCAACGTGGCTTTCTGAAGTTGATAATTATCACTACTTACGAACACTATGTCCCACATTTTTGGTGGATGTATTACAACTACAGTTGTACAGACTGGTCCGAATAATTCACCAGTATAGTCTGAAATATGATGACGTTTTGAGCTGAACATGTATATATGGAAAAGTATGCACTCATTGATGTTGAATATCTATAACTACACCTGCAGTAGTCGTGACGTTTTAGTTGAATACTCTATTGTCTCGTATATGTATCTACGAAAAATGAGTTGTGAAGGGATTCTAATGCACAGCAGTGGAGTTCGAGGTTCTGCCGAACCTTGTTATACTTCGATATGCAAAACAAATTAAGCAAAACTAAATCAAACACATTTTTTAAATGGTTTTATTTGATGCAATAAACAAATATAACGAAATATTTGTAGATCAAAAAGTATTCTGTATGTTTTATTGTGTAACTTTGCAATTGTTTCGAGTGAACTCGTACCAAAACATGTATTTGATGAAGAGATGTTTTTGTTATCTATATATTTTTCCCCCTCACAAACGCAACATTGTTACCTTTGCACTAGCATTCAGCATAGCTAATGCACCTGCAGTTTAATTGCCATTTACAGAATAAGAATGAAAATCCGGATGAGTAGTCGTCTGTAAGGTACAAGTACGAATTGTGTACAAAATGAAATAGTGTCTGTGTCGAATTTATTTATTATTTAAAGTATTAATAAAACAAAAGATTTTCCTCTTAAGGGACATCCAGGTACTGGAGTACAACAATATAACGAACACATAACTCATTCCTCTATCATGCAATTGCATCTTAACATCGCTCTCGTCACTTTCACAGGCTTACTTAAATAAATCGTGTTTAGGCACAATTAGCGTAGACAGTTTCCTTTTAATGCTTGGTTATGAAGGCGGACAAAATGTAGACACTTTAATAGTTGATTGGTTTACAGGAAACTTATACATCTGTTTTCCATCTTCTTTATGAACAAGAGCAACAGTTGTTTAGTGGTAAATACTGTAAACATGGAATTTTAACTTGGGGCCACGTAACTCATAACGATAATCTAGTAGCGTCAACAGGATTACTAGCATTGATACACAAGGATGTTTTACTCTATCTTTTCACAAATATTTAGTTTCGCAAAATAATATCAACATATTAAATAGTAATTCCATAAAACATTGATTTGAAAAGTTGTAATAAAATCATCAGTTAAAACTGTAAATTAATTAATATATGCGATGCTATGTTAATGACATTCATAGTTCAGTTATGTGATAGATATGAGTAAACTCATCATAAACCTGTACCTCACACAGTTCCAGCACAACGTCATTCGAATACCATGATTTTGCTACGGTCAGTGAAGATGGTCAGATACCGGTCGTACTGTATCGCAGACATGGACGTTTAGCCAGCTGTGGTGTCCATGTAGCACATGTTTCCTGATGTCCATTCATCGACTAGTCTGTTTAATGTGCCCTCATGGACACCGATGGGCAAATGTATAATACAGTTTGAAAGATGCAGCGTGATAAAGACTGCTTGCAAAGTTTATGGTCGCCATCAAAATCTCTTATTGGATTTTGAAATATGAACATCGAAGACTTGTTTATCAGTTTTGCTGATAAACCTGGTTCTGACTTTGAAAACTTCAAAACACCGCATGCCATGTCATGCATTAAGAGATATCAGATGTTTTCTGAGTTTCCCCAATATCCTGTGATCATTAGACACCGAAAAAAGGATTAATTAATGAAGGGGACAATAAACATTCGTCGTCTTAAGCGATAGATGACGATCACATATTAACATTAATATAAATAATATTCGAGAGATGAAAATTACGTCACCTTGTGCAATTGAAACAAAGCACTCCTATCAATTAAGCTATGCTATTCTTATTTTACACGAGGATTTCGAGTGAACCAAGACATCTACAAAGTATGTATACATATGTTACATAAAAAGAGATGTCAGAAAAAAAAAACATACCTTGCAAATTAATAAGATATTAAAAATGAACGTAATCTTTTGTGACGAATGTTTTTCTAAATCGCATTAAATCACATTGTCACAATAGTGCACAGCAAGGGACAAATATATCTAAATAAACATGTAGGATTGAATAAATATATGTATATTGTGTTTCAATTATTCTTAAATTCGAGTTAAATTGCAAATACACTCGAAAAAATATAATGAAACTAGCAAAAAACATTCTTATTGTATCATTCAATGCAAATAAATCTCTATTAAAAAGCCAATAGATAATAATATCGTTCAACACATTACTCACTGTCTATATCAATGCATATACTCAATATAGTCAAAAGCCTTTCGACTCTTGTCTAACACTGCCAAAACAGACAAAACAACTAGACATACACCTTTGTCTTCGATCAAACTATTTATTTGATCCCATTAAGATAAAGCTATATTTTATTCAATGCATTGTGTATGCTTCACATAACCTTATTACTTGTCAACAAACTGTCAACTGTGTGTTTATCTAACACTGCTCGAAAACTTGCTCAAAGCTATTTATACTAATACTCCAAAACATGCATCCCTCAAAATATCTTCTGGGATCGTAAAATTATAAGTCAGTATGAAAATATATCTAACCTTAACTCTGACAGCATAAACAATACATGCTAGGGTTCACACAACTGACATTCCGATATTGTGAGAACGTAAAATTCACACAAGAATTTACAACTGAACATAAACAATCTACAACACTATCAATGTTCATCACCTACGTATTATTATTTAAGTTAAGAGACGAACTCATCAAAACAAAAATCAAATGTGTGTAATTTATTTTACAATAACAAGGTTACGTTGAATGATGAAACTGTCCAGTTTACAAGAAGCATTTCCCTTTGTTTTCTTGTCAACATCTGTTGTCTCGTATATATGTGGAATGTCCACCTCCCTGCGTCCAAGCTGTTCATAATTTGACTCATTTTGTGAAATCTGCGCAATGGTTTGTTCCTTGTTGTAAGTTACTATTTCGTCGTAGGTATTATCTGGAAATGGACCAAACATATGAATTGAATTTCTTTCTGATAAGATCATTGTTATGCTATTAACATGAGCTAATATACCGTAATGTTGAAATATGCTAACACTGTTTGAAGTTGGTGTAAAAATGGGAACAATGTCCAATCAAGCTATCGCGTTTCCTTTTCAGAATTTAAAAAGTTTTTCATTGTAAACCTTCAAGCTGCGATCATTCGCTTTACACGTTAAATAATCCGTTTGCGAATGTACAAATGTAGTAGATGTTTACCTTGTTTTTGTTTTAGCTCTAATGCAGTTCTCGGCAATGATATATCTGCCACATGAGAAGAACCTGTGGTGTCGCCGCGCTTCATCGTCCGACGTTTGACCAGTACAATTATCACGATGACCAGAGCCAGTATAACCACTCCAGATCCGATGCCTATCCCGACAGCGGCGTCTTCATTCGTTATAGTTACCACTATAGCATAAACAGTGATGCAAGTTTACTGTGTATGTCATACATTTCTCCTAAGTTATTATCTAAATTTCTTGTCGCTCCTCTTCATTTTTTTGGATTGGGGTGTTTCTTTGATATTATATGCAACATGTTGGGTTAAAATCAAATCTTTTAAATCATTTAATTCTGAAGAGATCACACTTTAGAAATCGTTTGGAGAGGACAAAGTCACAAATATATTTATTGTAAGAATATCATATGAATATTACCCTTGTTGTGGCATTCGTTCCCAGTCCATCCATCTGTACACCCTGTCGTACAGTCTCCAGTGTCCTTGTCACAACTTACACCTTGACAACTGCCACACGACTTTAAACATTGGCTTCCATAAAATCCTGCTACACACACTACAAGTACAAGTTTACTCAGAATTCATAAAGTATCCTGAAAAACTGGTACTGTACATGTTACATTGATTGGTAGGTTTAAGATTGTTTTTTTTTATTTTTGACGTCGAAAGCAGGGAAGCAATAGCATGTATGAAAAAAATGAAAGATTGTGATGGGTACCCTCGACAACTTCGAGGATAACAACACCAAGCAATCATGTGCACTTGGATATAATATTTTTCCAACATTAATTATGATTTTCATATGAAAACTTGCTCATTGTCTTCAAATACATTGTCAGCTTGAACTTGTAAACATTTGTCTATCCTAAGATTGAAAATCAAGCAATATCAAATACGACCTTTACACATGGCAACATTATGTTGGCTTCGTCTAAATGATACTTAGCGCTTAATGTCGATTTAATGATTTCAAATATTGCCCCGGGCTTTTTTTCAAACGATGGTACAGACCCAGGTTACGGGTTTAAATATGTAATCAGGTCTCTGCAATGGAGCTTAGGTCCGAATCACATATCCCTTTAACCAAACTACGATATGTTCCTGCATGATGTACATGCAAGGGAGGTGATTTGTTGGAATTTTACTTTTTAGTATTCTTGTTGTACATTTGAAACTAAACGACGCGAGTAAACTAATAAAGAATTAACGAAGTAGTTACATCAATCAGTAAATTTAATTTAATAGGCGTACTTTTTTTCAAGAAAATAATATCTAATGCCATTCTGTTTGGTTCATATGGGTCGTTTACCAGATTTAACTAGGCTGCGTATATAATCAGATATTTAATTTACATGAACTACTGCAAAAAGATGTCCAAATGACCATTAAGACCCTCCTACTTCAAATTTATCTGAAAACACCAATAATCATAACTTCTAGTACACATTTGCGTTGTTTTGTTGTTGATGTTATAATCGATACACATTTTACAAAGCTATATGCTGGTTGATATTATCTTAATGTCTCGATGCATCTATCTTTAAATAATATTTTCAGTAAGCAATTGTGTATGCGTTGCTGCAGGCTATGTAATAAAATGCGTCATTTTGTTGTGTGATTTATGGAATTAGTGTGTTTATTATATATATATTAAGGGTCCTTTTGACGTATTATATCAAGTCTATGGTAAACCGAGCCATAATTTTGTTCCAGAATACATATTTAGTCGAACGAAATCAGAAACTTACTATGCCTCAAACTAACTTCACGTTATATTAGGTTCTATGATACCGAAACGCATTCCACGTTTCTAAAACGTAATTTTCCACGCTGCAAAATACTGATGCATGCATTCATGTATCGACGATAAATAAACTGAGGAGTGAAGGTCGAATACGTATTTGTTCTGTTATATCAGCTTTATGTTTTGATTGGTTCATTTTGACAGGTACTGTGCATAGCCCATTTATTAATAGTTCCTGGGAATGTGCTGTACCACTTGGTTTTAAGGACTAACAACGCTATTGAGATGTCGGTGATGGTTTTCGTGTTACGTTTCGTTATGATTGTACACCTTTATGACTACCATTACATGCCTGACGATTGAGGAACCTTCTGCTAAAATAGCCGAAATCATCTGAGTTTTCCTCGGCTTTGTTTTTATCTTATTTTCAAAGGAAAACGTCCCCAGCGGCTATCCGTATACATACTCAAAATGTATGCTGAATGCAGCAAAGCCTTGACCTAACAATAACCATTACACTAGAGAATGTAGAGCCGGGTTTTTGAGAATAAAATCCGGTTTTGGTTTAACTGACCATTTAACGATTCAAACTACTAACAGGGGAAACCTATGATTGTACGATTTTACTAGTGTATCGTTGTCTATACCATGACCTGTCAACATACCTGTACATAACACACTGGTTGATTACATGTACCACCTTTACAATTGGAAGGGCAGTTTATGGTGCAGGTATCACCATAATATTTAGATTTGCATGCGTAAGTAAATAAAAACATCAGCAGTCATCTGAGACTTAAAGCATACATCGTTCACTTTACATTACCAAAAAACACAGATGAGGTATAATTTCAACGCAGGCTTGAATATAACACAAATAAGATTTTACAAGTATCTCTCTTCAGAAAAAAATACAATTGTATCGTATCTATCTTCAAGCACATTTATAAGTCTAGTCAAGCATGAATAATTCGAATTCATACATAAGCATAGCCCGTCAGACCTTCTGCATGATACAGCACTGCACTGTCCACATTTCTCTTCACAGTTAAGTCCAAAATATCCACTCGTACAAGCTAATAGTACAAACAAAAGTAGTGTCATTGCATACAGATATTGAAAAAAATGATAAGTAATGAAATCATAAGATTTTTGTGTTTTTTAGAAATTGTCTTTTGAAGTTAACATAAAATGTTAAACGATAAATACTCTTCAGATGTAATATTTTGATTATGATTGACGATGCCAAACTTCATGTCTACATGGCAGAATGAATCAAAATGTAAATGATTCATTGTCTTTTTTTTACAATCATAGTACGTAGTTTGAACCTTAAACATTAAACCATTTGTTTGATGCATGTTCCAAAATAACATATCAGTAAATTAGGAATAGCTCAGCCATGGCTACTTTGACAAAATGTTATGTACTTAAATGATATGTCAACTGTACCTATGCACGTTCCGTTGTTCTGTTGGCATTCATCATTGTTACAATGACCAGAACATGACATATTGCAGTTTTGTCCAAAGAAACCAGGGTCACATGCTACAATACAAATATTTCATATTTTACACATACGACTCCTTTTGTGCATTACAGCTAATGCCCAATCAAATGGGCTGACGTTTTTATGTTCAAATTAAAATTAAGATCACTATTTCCGCTCGGTTGACTGCATATCCGGCCATTGATCAAAACTATTAATATCAAAAGTTGACCCGTAAAATCAAAGATTGTTATTTTGCCTTTAGATAAAAAAGGAAATGTTAAAAACAGTAATATTAAACAAGTTTGAATTGCAAGGGGGACTATAATAAAACTCGTCCCCTAAACGGACCCTGTTGTCACAAATGATGCTTAAGATGAAATGTTCAATGCCATAATGCTCTTACAAAATAAAAAAAAAATCGCAAAATTAGAAATGGTGAGGCACCATTAGCATCTCCTTGGCCTCCACCGATGTATATGTGAAAACCCCATTTCAAAAACGTAATATTCCACACGTTACAAAACAACTTTGACAAAATGTTATGTACTTAAATGATATGTCAACTTTACCTATGCACGTTCCGTTGTTCTGTTGGCATTCATCATTGTTACAATGACCAGAACATGACATATTGCAGTTTTGTCCAAAGAAACCAGGGTCACATGCTACAATACAAATATTTCATATTTTACACATACGACTCCTTTTGTGCATTACAGCTAATGCCCAATCAAATGGGCTAACGTTTTTATGTTCAAATTAAAATTAAGATCACTATTTCCGCTCGGTTGACTGCATATCCGGCCATTGATCAAAACTATTAATATCAAAAGTTGACCCGTAAAATCCAAGATTGTTTTTTTGCCTTTAGATAAAAAAAAGGAAATGTTAAAAACAGTAATATTAAACAAGTTTGAATTGCAAGGGGGACTATAATAAAACTCGTCCCCTAAACGGACCCTGTTGTCACAAATGATGCTTAAGATGAAATGTTCAATGCCATAATGCTCTTACAAAATAAAAAAAAATCGCAAAATTAGAAATGGTGAGGCACCATTAGCATCTCCTTGGTCTCCACCGATGTATATGTGAAAACCCCATTTCAAAAACGTAATATTCCACACGTTACAAAACACTATTGCATGTTCCATGCAGTAATGTTTTGACGTAAAATAGAATGAGAATATGTATACGCAAGATGGTAATGATTTATTTCTGAACACACTATAACCGTCTCAAATGGAAACAACGTTTCATTATGATTGTAAACCATTATGATCAGCATTAAATGTCCAAAATATATTGTTATACACACTCAAAATGTATACTTAATTCAGCAAAACCTCTGATGTAAGGTAGCAGTGTACAGTAGCGTACGATGGCAACGGATGATATTTGTATACAATGAATAACCCCTGTAATATTACATGTATCCCAAAAAAAAAAAAAA